TACACGACTTTACTAGCACTTAAATCGCAGTCTATTTATAGTTGAAGCCGCCTGTCTATCAATATAGGTCAACCATAATAAAAAATATTTTATGGGTCTCATGATTGACTTTTGTGGATTTTCTCACAGTTTTGAGTAAATAGTTAAGATTTTACTGGTTCTTGGTCACACCAATTTAATATAAGCTAAATGAGAGCTTACATTTTAGGAAGTCATTATTTGGAACTAAAATGTGATTTTGTTATTGTCTTAATATAATTGTTGTGATCTTAAAGTGCTAAATAATGTTTTAATTTTAGCTTTTAAATTTAAAATTGTAATAAAAATGTTTATTTAATAATAGAATAAGACATTTATTCAAATGACACATAATAATATACATGTCTTAAGAAAAATAAAAATAATTAAGATAATGACTAATGAACTAATTCTCATCAATCATTTATTATCACTTTATTTTACTTCTTAAAATTAAAGGAAACTACCTATAAACTAACTAGTAAACTACATAAAAACTATCCATAAATCGGTATTTATTTGTTGTATACAATACAGACTCGTAGGTACTTATATTTAACCCAAACATTGGCTTCTAGTAAGTCAATATGGGAGTCACCTGAAAATCATTTACTAATACAAAGATTTTTTTTAATAAAAAAGTCTTTGATATTTTTCGGTACTGATCTTGGTCTGGTAAAATGCTGCATATGTACTAAGAGATCGAATTCCTATATGAAAAAAAATATAAGAAATGAAAAGGAAAATATTTATAAAGTAACTAGCAAACTATATAAAAACTGTCCAGCAATCTGTAATTTTTTAACTTAAAATTAACTTTTATTAAACCAACAGAAAAAACTATTAAAAAATTCGCAATAACAATATTTAGCCCGAACTGTGAGTCCCAGTCGTTCGACATAGAATACACATGTCTACGAATGTGATTAAGCGAAGTCTTCATCCATTCACGAACAATTTTTTTTGCACTCTCGTATTTTTCGGTAAATATCATATGCTAAAAAATCAAAAAAAATTACATATGCTGATTATGAAGGTCACTGTATTATAGAAACAATGTAGTGTGGAACCACCACTAGCTCATGCTTTATTCAAGAGAGAAAGAGAGATATAGAAAAGGAACTTGTTGACTTTGTCAACTCTTTGTGTATCTCTCATCTATAAATCAGAGCACCTATCTAAACTTATTCACAGCAGACATTCGCAATAATTTTGACCAAATGACCCAATACATTAAGTCTAATAGACTGTGAAGTCTGTCTAAACTATCACAAATATTAAGAGAAATTTGTCATAAAAACAAACTCGAAACTGGACGTGTTGTATGTCTTGTGGTAATATTTTCTTAAAACCATATGTCTTCCATATCCTTAAACATTATTTTACAAAAAATATTAATCAACATCTTACTCTAGCGACCACATATCATGGTTTGTAGTCTGTGTTAGATCTTCATCATTTTCAAAATCAAGTGGTGCTATCACAAAAGCTTTATCTTACGATAATTTTTTGTTCATGAAATTCTATTTTCATTGCCTGGAAATTCTCGCTGTTTTAGATACGACATTTATCAATTGTTGGTTTATAGTATATCCATCAAGCAAAAACTCAGCCCCATTACTTAAAAATATTTGATGGAGTTATTGTCGCTACTTTTGTTAAGTTTTTTCAATTTGGAAATATATGACTAAAAAATGATATGTATTGAAAACGTCGAACTTTGTTTGATATATATCACTGAAATAGTGCTGCTCAAGACCACGAAATGGATCGCCTTTTATAAATTTTCCTGTGATCTCTCACCAAGGCAGATGATATTTGGTCGCGTTCGTACTTTGCTGTAGCAAGCCTATTTTTATTTTTAACGTGGATGAAAATTTAGTTCTTTTGGAGCTAATAAATATATTTAAGATCATTTTTATGTATTTAGTGCTTAGTGGTTTTCGATATCTTTAGCTAAGCAGCTATCTGTTATCGACTGCAGTGCTGATTTTAAGTAATTCGAACCCTAAGGTTTTAAATAACTTTTGCTACAGATGTGGTTTTTTATAACTGCAGCACTTCATCATATTGACAGTTTCGTAAATATATATTAAGTTTCGAGTTTATTACCTAGTAATAAGAGGAACAAACGTTTTTATCAACACCCACAGTAAATCCACATAGTTACAAAGAATGTTTACAGATAAAGATATTAGTCTGATAAAAATAGAGCAAAAATATGCAACCAAATATAATGCAACTGTTTCTTATGAAATGGTAAAAGTGTTAGAAGTATTATAGTAAATAATAAATGTTCTTTTAATTCTAAGAAATCATGTCAATCTGTTCATGAATTTATATTGTAGTGTGTTATTATTCACATAAGGTTTTTAAAAAAATTCTACCATAACGAATGAAACTAGAGCAGACTTTTCTCAAGCCTGAAATAATAAGAGCGTATAAAAAACATTGGTATATTATTATATATTATATCTATTCCAAATAAATAATAAAATCACGTTGACGAATTGATTTAGATTTTTCGATGAAACTAAATAATTGTCTGCCATCATTTGGTTTCTTAGCCCAACAGACTTATATGTATCCCGTTTTTAACCTATCCTAGCTTTATTCTTTTTTTTGAATATATTTCTCTTATAAATATGAAGTTAACCTAAACAATCTCAAAAATAATTTGGTTTTTAAATTTGTAGAATATAATTGACACTGTTATCGTATCCCAGCTTAACCGCTATTATTATACAATTTTCTTTATCTTCCAGAAACTTAAAATAATTTTCTCATTAATAAAAAACTTCACGTTTATGTTTCTTTAAAACATTTTTCGAACTCATAAATCATTCACATATTAATTCAAATCACAACAGAAAGCCTTTCTGTTTTGAAAAAAAAATGATTTGGGGTTTTAAAAATTTAAAAAGATAAGCAATGGACGGAAATTCGGAAAATCAAAATAAATAAAATGTAAACTACATAAAAAAAAGAAAAAATTAAAAATTAATTATTCTGGCGGTAATTTGATAAATTTGTTTTGTTCGTGTTATCATTAAAATTCTTAAGAATTCCCATACTGACATTCAGAATACCGAACTGCATTTGATTGCATTGGAGATTTCTGAATGAATGATTCAATGAATCACTCCAAGCACCCATCTTAATATTTCCTAAATATTTAAAATTTTAAAGATCTAAAAATAGTTTCAAAAAATCATTAAGTTTTTAAACTTCAAATTTTATTGACTTGTTTGGATTCAATGTTTATGTTTCAGTTGCTACTCAAGTTCAAGTTCATGTTTCTTGGCCCCTGAAGACGGTTTACGAACCAAATTTATTTGTTGTAAATTCAAAATAAAAAATTTGTGCATTAAATTACAAAAATAAACACAAGCCCAGTCAGTCAATAAAATCTCAAATTGTTATAATAAAAGTTAATAGAGTAATACGAACCTGAGGCACAGTTTAGCGCCTTTCATGCCATTAACGAGCTTCGTTATTAGACGTGTAATAAAAAAATGAGTAACACATTTAGCACCCTAAAGACTTTCCGATCATTGATTTTCTGACTAACGTTTAATGAGTTCTTGTTACTCTTTTATAACGAGTTATATTTTTAATGACGAAGAACGATGATTAATCCGAACATAAATACTTGAATTATTAATCCCAATAGATTAAATTTTAGACTAATGAAATTTTAAACTAATGATGTTTTCAGTTGATAAATCTGGATTCAGTCTAAATTTACTCTCGATTTATCGAATTTTGTTACCCAGTCGAACATTTCTAGAGTAGACTCACATTTTTGTAGTAATGTTAGTAGACATTTATATTTTTCATAAATAAATATATCGAATCAAATCACACTTTATTTGTTAAGTCATATAAAACAGCTGTTAATATCAGGCTAATCTTGCTACTTTGGCAAAATATCTAGAGTGTTATAATTTAATCTCGAGTGTTATACATTTCGCTCCAAATTTACCTTGTCGAAAATAAAAAGTGCACTAAAAGTAAATGGCATAAGTAATCAAAATAAATCTTTCAAGTATACATCGTAACTTGACAGTCGACAATAATAAGTGATTAATAAATATCGTTAAACAATCATTAAAGAAATAAACCCTAGTAGATGATGAAAACAGATAATAGAAATTAAAGAACCTAGTAATCACAGTCAACTGCAGGTTCAAATTATATAATACTTTGTTTATTTGGGAACCAGCGTAAACATCAAAAAAGACGTCAGCTTAGAGATATTTTGGGCTTAGTAGGTTATTGAAACATAAAGCACTTTTCGACAAGCAAAAATTATGCCCTACGAATATCTCTTATCTTAGCTCTTGTTCTGTTGCACAGTGGATATTAGCCAACAGTGATAAGAAGACATTTAGATAATGCGACAAAACAATTCTTCGGAATAGCTATGGTCTTGTACTCATTGGTAACGAATTAGATAGAACGATGATGAGAAATCGTTAGATAGAACGATGAGAAATGAATACAGTGTGACAAAACCGAAATTAGCCAATCAAAGTTCTTTATTTTCTGGACCAGTATAGATATAGAAATGAAATTTCCCTTAAATATAGTTTTCGAGATTAACAAAATTTCAACTTTCTATCTGTCATAGTTTTTGAGGAAACTAACTAAATGTGAAGATAGACCATGTTTCGCCCTAGAAGGTCGAACTTAGACAGGTTCCGGTAGGTCGAGTAAGCTCAAATTAGATTTAAAGCATCTCATAAACTATATTCAAAGAAAATTTTCTGAAAATACTGAGAAAACTGTTTCAAAAAATACAGAATTTTGTTTGGGAAAATTCTTTATTGGGACACTGTGCTTCTGTGGAAGAACTAGATGATCAACGATGTAAGAGCAAACAGTTCTACCAACTGTCGACAATAATTTATTCACGTGTGTGATGTCAATATAAATAATTTTATTGCAAAGACAATAAATTTAATTAATGCGGAACGTTAATCATTAATTATTATAGACTTATTTCGAAGTCGTAATGAAGCGCACTAAACGTTTCTTTATGAGAGGTAAATTTTTAACGCTACTGGCATGGAGTGTACCAAATTGCTACCCTAGAACAGGGTAGCTGCAGAAGAAGTGTGTGTTTGCTACTTCTATCTCTTCCTCTTTATTTCAACAACTTCTACTATATTCATTACAGTGACCTTCTTATCGGCACTGCTTTTTTCCTCAATATCTTTCTGTCTCAAAAGCGAAATTCATCGCTCCCTGAAAATTTTGCATCTAGAGTTGCCATTCCTTTTTACTTCTATACCTAGCCTGTTACTTTCATATTTTTTTCTAGTTGTTTAAGGCAACTATTAGTCGAGCTATTAGTCAGTATATAGTATTTATTACAGAGTCTTCATTGATATTCCAAGTCTAATATTATGAAACCAAAAAGCTATTAGCATTTTATTTTGACTGAATTCTTCTTTGATTTGTTATTTTAGCTTTAAGATTTGTTTATATGAAAATAGATTGTTGTTAGATTTACCCTTCCTCCAATAAACCAATAAATTAACTTAAGAACTCTAAATACTATATAGTAATAAAATTGATTTCTACTTCTATTGTCTCGGGTATTAGTTTTTCTTGTCTTAAATATGTGGAGTTTAAACTAAAGATTATAGTCCTTTTGAGAATGTAAGGCTTTTTGCATTGCTTAAAATATATAAAAGTTTTTGTTGATAAAATATGATTCAAATTTGTTTTAACATGTAACAAATTTCTCGACTCACATTGTTATGTTGTAGGTTTGTTTTATTAAATTGAGAAGTCCCGCTTGGTTCAGAGTGGCACTTTATTCTCGATAAATATGTCTATAGTATGTAGACTTGGTTCTCTTAGCAGTCATTATATATAGTTTAGATTACCTAAACTATTCAGCAAAATATATTGATATCCCAACAATTTTTTAGCTCCACTTAGAAGAATTCAAGTAAGGTAGAAAGATGTACCAATATCCATGTTGTTATACCTATTACAGAAGAGATGATAATGAAAATCATATAAAAATCATAATAAAAGTCATATAGATTCCCATATTCTTCCAATGTCATTCAAATTATATGTCTCCAAAGAAATGACTAGGTACTAGCTGTTACTAACGCCATTAATCAACAATTCACAATAAGAATGAATAGATTTGAAGCCGTAAGTATTAAAAATTGATATATTTCAGTTTAATCCTTTTCTAATCCGATTTTCCCTGCATTTACCGCGTGCTATATTACATTTTCGTAATATTCATTGCTTTTGAGTATTAGTCATAAAACTCTTTTTCTCATAATTATTGTCGGGGACAGCATTGTTGAGGTCAGATAAGATGGCGGGCCAAATACAAATCACTGAATAGGTAAGAGAGCTGCAGAAATAAATACATACATCATAATTTTTTGGAAAAAAATAAAAATACTGCGATAATGTTAAATTTAGTTTTGGTAATTTTTAATTAATTTATCTCTTACAACTCCATCAATATCAGCATTATTAACATTAGTTGTTGCCATGCAACTAATATTAATTAATTACATTTTATTTCTAATATTATGACTTACTGCACTGGAATCGAGTTTTTTGAACCAGTTGTACAATGAAATATATCCTAAAGTCTTTGTCAATTAAGTAAATTAACGTGAAATGTAATAAATTATTTAAAATTAATTTAATTTATTTATTTAGGATACCAAAAAATAAAAGAATGTAATGTCACTAAAATAAAATAAAGAAAAATTTACATAATTGTGGTAGATTAGAAACATATCGCGGGCCGCACAAATATTAGCCGCGGGCCGCATGGTGCTCCTGGGTCGTGCTTTGGACAGCCCTGGTCTTGATAAAAGCAATAATAATTTATAAATATATAATAATTGAATGAATAAATATTTATAATAACGGCAATAATTAATAAAGCCTTTATGTCATGCTCAGTAAATTATGTCATGCTTATTAAACAATCTGTCATAAAATTAGTTGGTGCTTAACTAATTTTATTTCCAAACAATATAAAATTATATTTCAATAACTATTATATTTATTATCAATCTATAAAGAAATCATTGGCTTACGAGTATCAAATATATTGCTATAAAAATAAAAAAAAATGAATTGAAAATGGTTTTACTGTCATAATGACCCGTTTAACTTTATGCGCTCGGTTTAAAGAGTTTTTGGCCCTTATAGCATTTGCATTATAAAAATGAATTTATTAATTACAAACAATTATAGCCGCCACAATGTGCAGAAAGTCGTCAATGCAGCAGCAGTCGAGCAAATGTATCTCGGCGGCTACAGATACATATGCGTATCTTAACAAAATATCTTCAGTTCTTCAATGTGTACACGTATTTGGCGTACTTGTCCGTAATTTATGGATGACACAATAAATGAGTACACAATAAAAAAAGCCAAAATAAGCGGTAAACTGCTTAAATTTAAAATTTTAAATGCTTTTGTTGCGCATGCCCATTACTAAATCACGCTTCAATGTACGAGTATGTATGAACGTACCTGTCTTTTGCTTGAAGTACAAGTACAAGTATCTGAAAGGCAGGCGGCCGGGCCATATAAGTTGGATATCATATCATATGTGATTTTTAATTTTTTTATTATTGTTTATTTTGGATTTTTTTTGTGTTGGTGGAGTGGGGTAAGTGCAAATGTTTTGGCTGTTCGTTGGCATCACAGCACACTTACAGGTACTTGCATTATTCATTTTTTTGAAATTGAATTATTTACATAGTTAACGGTGACGTTGAAGTTACAGCACAAAAAAAAAACAACGAAAAAAAACGTTAAACTTTATCGAGAGAAAAAAATTATAATGACAGATACAAAAATTAAAAAAAAAAATTATAAAAAGCCGCAATAGCATGTGTCCGCATCCTAAACAATCAGAAAAGTACAGACAACTATAAGCGGCAAAGTGCTGCCGACGTGCCAAGACGAATTTGGCAAAAGGTTATGACTGCAGTTCAGAGGAATACTTTTGTATCTGAGCATGTTAAACGCTTATAGGAACTCCATCAGCCCCGCCAAGTATCGAAATGACCGAAATTCCGCTCCTATTCGTAGTACTCGTGAATAATCGCCAAAGCACAGAGAGTATGGAAGAGGAAATGAACGAGCTAACAATCAATAAACAAACTTATGTATGTGCACGAGCAATTGAGAAAGTCGGTGAGCGAAGTGATATATTTTGCCCTACTGGAAGCTAGCAGTCTACAGCCAGCAGACTACAGCCAGCAGTCAGCACTCAGCACTAGACTCAAGTTTAGCCTAAGCTTTAAGCATGGAAACAATACCAGTCGCAGTCTTATAGGCACCGTCAGCGTGAACACTTAAGTAGTAAATGTCTTTTAAATAATTAATTGCAAATAAGAAAAGGAAAAGCAATTACACAATTCGCAATTCGCAGATCACAGATCGCAATTCGGAGTTCGCAATTCGCAATTCGCAAGGAAGGAAGTCGATAACGAAATTTTATTTCTTACATGGTGGCTACTTACTCTTGGCCACTTGCTGCAACTGATCCTCGTGCGATATGTGGATCGGTGTTGGTTTTAGCGAGTGTTTAACTTAACGCACGCGATTATTGAATTTGCGAAAAAAAAAGTGAAATTAAATGTTCGGCAGTCGGTGATCAGCATGAGATAAAATAAATAAATTCGCTTCCCGTATTCAAAGTGTCGAAAAAAAGATGCAATCCTGTTTCACAAATATTGTGTGGCTGCTTTACTTCTTATGCATCACGTTCAGTGGTTATCTGTCGGGAAAAGGATGCACAAATTTGGTAGCTGGATTTTCATCTTTTACGCGACAAACGCGTGAGATCATCATTACAGATGCGGTAATAAAAAAAATCTTCCATAACTTCAAATTCATATTCAAATTCCAAGTCATGCAATTCAATTATTTTATTAACTAAATTAACATAATTTATTAAAAATCAAAATTTGCATTGTGTATTTCTCTCAAAGTGCTAATGTGCGCGGCCGTATCTGACAAATTAAAATGTCATAATATGCAACATGGAATTTAAATTAGTAATTATAAAAAAAACAAAAGCAACAAAAAACCCAGAAAGAGTTAAGATATTAAAAAATTAAAAAATTAAAAAATAATAAAAGACTCAAAAAAAAAAAGATATATTAAAATTACAGACAAATTGCTTGGGTGGAAGTGTGCTGCTTTTGTAGTTATTGCCGTTTAATTATTGCATTAAAGCACGTGCAAAAATTTTACGATTTATGTAAATAAACGTTTGTATCTACCATATATGTCTATCTACCGTATCTACACAAATGCATACGTTATGTGATTGTTGGCACAAGCATAAAATAGTACGTGTCCGTTTTGGCCAACTCGCCTAACCTTGTCAAGTCAAAATTTTACTGTAATACTCGTACTTGCTAATGTATTTGCCTGACATTGGAGGTCATGCAAATTTATATATATGTGCCATTTCATACTCCACCCACTCCCCTCATTGATGCATAATCCATACCGTGTCTAATTGACCTGAAATATGTTTCATTAAGCAATTTAAGTGGAACATTAATTTCCTTTATTCATAATTTCTAAATGGAGTTTATTATTATTAATTTCGCCTTAAGCGATACGAGTATTGTTAATTTGCCTAATAGATACTTTTAAATAAAGTGCAGATGCAGATGCGTCGTAAGACTTGCCCGACCCACTTTTTTAATAACATAGAAGTGGAATTTTAATTCTTTAGGAAAGAACGATAATACCATAAAAGGAGATTAAGTGAAGTAAGGTGTTTTAATATATTTTCTTTATTATGTTAAAAAAATACATAAATAAAAATTCTAATATTGATATAGTTAATAATTTGGTTCGAGTAGGAGTGATGAAGCATTAGATATTATTTAAATATAAATTATTAATAAATTGTTTATAATTTACCAATATTAAGCTTGTTTTAGTACCATTAACTTTCAATAATATTTAGTTTATTGATTCTTGAGAGTCAAAAGTTGATATGAAGGTTACAGACTTAAAAAATATTCAATTAAATAAATATAAAAGTAATGATTAGACTCTAGATTCTGTTCTTAATTATGTCCAAACTAACAAAAAATTTATAAAAAAATTCAGAATTCATTATAGATAACTTATATTAAATTAAGTCTACAGCAGTTGTGAGATTTTTCAATAGGTTCAGATGTAGGCACTGCAGTTGTGAGACTTTACTATAATTTTGATAACGATACTTAAGAAGTCCACTATGCCATAAGCACAGGGAAATAGCACAATTCATATACTATGCATATGGGGTTTTAAATCTTAATAATCTAAATAAATAATCTAATTAAATTCGAAACAATTGTTAGATTTTTCAATAGGTTTAGGTGACCTTGGTTGCTATATAGTCTCTGTAACCATAACATATACCATATATAACATATATAGAATAAGTTTGAGAGAAGACTATACAAAAATCATCTTTAGGTCATCGTGAATACATAATAAAAGTTATGGTTATTTATTTCAAGACTTAGTTTATTTAGGATTATTTAGTTTATATGATTTGGGGATGATTTAAATTTGATTACTTTAGTTACAACTTCTGTTTGAATATTTCCAGATGTTTCTAGATTGTACTAAATTTATAGATTAATTACTTCAAATGATTTTTCATTGTTTTAAGTCTCGTTTTTGTTAAAAAAAATTTTAACTATCTAAGACACTTTTTCTTTAGTTGAATCTTTACAACTTTACAATTAAATAAACTTAAGCTTTGTGTAACTAATATGTGAAAAAATTATGAAAAAATTATATATTTTTCTAATACAATATTGTCATCTGCTATATTTCTGAGTTAATTATATTATTTATATTCGATTTTTATGTGTGAACTTCAAATTCTATAATATTTACTTTTCCTGCCATAATATTCTCATGGTAAATGTCGACAGGTTTTAAACTGTAATTTAGTCTTCATAGTTGAATAAATTTTACCAAGTATAGTTTTATAACTTGAAACTTTTTAAAAATTACGAGTTTTTCATTCATTTTTAAGTTAATTATATTCTTTATGGTATTTTAAAGTTAAAATCATTAATGAACAATTTTAAAAAGATATGAAAAATATCTGACTAAGTTGCAAAAACAAGCTAGCTATAAAATTTCTGGCTATATCTTTGACAAATATACTACTTTGTGTAGAGAATCTCATATTATTACTGTTGTGTCTATAGAAAGATTTTTATTTTTGTTATTGTTAGGTTAATGGAATTTCATTAACCTATAATGCAATGATGATATATTGTGAACCTAAATAATACCTCAATAATAGCTTAAGTCAAATCAATAACGATTGATTTCATGAAATGGAAAATAATCATAGCAAAATTTGTGATAGAGGAGAATGAGTACTTAAACTTCATTTAACCATATCGGTAGATGGAAACTATCAAACACTGTCGAGGTGTATAACGATATAAGTCAGTTACTTCACCTCTTAGAAATGAAAACTGAATATTCCAACCGTTGACTTTGAATGTTAGGGGGGAATCTCAACTCATAATCCTGATATCAATGGCAAAAGTAAAAGTGAATTGGTTTAACATTTAAAAATCTATAAGCATTAAAGTTAAGCGGGAGGTATTGGAAAAAATATGATATATAGCTTATTAAAATCAGGATTAATAGTGTTTATGGAATGAAACTTAAAAGAAAGGTCATGTAGCTGTGTGGGCTTTCGCTAGTTAAATCAAAGTTGGTACTTTTCGAAGCTAGTGAATATGAACGCGTTTCCCGCTGATCTTGCTTTTAAAATTAGTCGTGAAGGATTTTGAGCTTTAATAGACATAATTTTGTTCCATTATTATTTGGCTTTGTGCTATACTACTAAAAATTTATTAATGACATCCACTTTAACTATTTCAGGTTCAAGTACATACACATTAACTGTATTACAATTCATTGAAAACCTGTAAATGAAATGAATCATATATATTGTTTTGCATCACTTTTTTATGTTAATATTTAATGTATGTTAAATACAGTTTTATTAGTTGCCAAATAAGATTATTTTTTATATTTTCGAAAATGTTGTTAATTTTATGAAAAAACTAACCTTACATATTCACAACAATATAAATAAGTTATTAAATATTAGCCCAAACAAAAATTTTTAATATAATTAATAATTACTTTTATTTGAATATAAATCGAGAATATCTCTGTATCCAGAACATACAGATAGTTCACAAAAGGAAGCTGGTCATTATAAACCAGGAAGCTGGTTTATAATTTGTCGTTATTCTTTGTCAGAATATTTGGATTATACATATTTTACACTTTTAACAGAGTCTATTTGTGGGCAACATTTGTTGTGGGATTTTTAAAAAATAATTAACTTTCCTGTCCAAATAAGGTAAATTTTTATTGATGCTACATCCAATCCTCTATCGGAAATTTAGATTATCGTCCTGCTTCTCCTTCCTTCTAAAATCAAATGGCGTGTACTAGTTTTTGCATCGGAATATTATAAGTCCCATATTTAATAAATGTTTCAGCTAATTTCAGTCATTTATAAAGTTTGGAGTAGGTACACATCATCGAGTTCACAAAATTCACAACTTTACTGTTTTCAAATGAAAGGATGGTAGAAGAGTCCGAAGTTCATATGGTATGTAGGTTATTATTGTATCGACCTATTGTGCTATATTTACTACATGTGGTCTACTACTACATATGGACGAAAAGTGTAAAGCAAATTAGTTAGTTCAAAGAAGTTTTCAGTTAGGTAACTCAACTTTAGGATTTTATTACCAATTGTAAAGATAATAACATTCACGTCAATGTTAAGTTGAAACTGTATATAAATCAAATATACAAAAGTTAATTGATTTAAAACAAATGCTTTCCTTACTTTTCCACATGGTACTAAAAAAATGATTTTTAAATTTAAATTAAGAGTTATTTATAATGTTAGCAACTAAGAAAATCTCCCTAGCCGCCGTACTCTAATGTATTTTATTTTCAATTTAGTTAGTAGTGAAATAAAACTTATATATTTCTTTTGGAAATTAAATTTAAATTAAGGTTACGAGATTATTTTTCGTATGCCCAACTAATGATTAATTACTCATTGATTTTCAACTTTAATTAATGCTAGTGTATGGTCAGTAAATATAGATGTATGGTTCAATAAAAGTATTGGAGATACTGAGCATATACAATATAAGTGAGATAGAAAAAATAATATTTGATAATTACAATATTTCTAGAAACAAAAAAAGTAAATTAACATCTTTCGGTTAAATTTCTTCAATACAAATGCTATAACCCAAATATAAATATGTAAAATACATCCCATCTTAAAACTTTGTAATTTGCGCTTCGATTCATTCTTCATTACCTAGGACTTTCGTTATCAGAATGTTGATCTGAAGTTGGAGATTTAGTAATATGATATTTATTTCTTAAGTAAATTAGATATACTATTCGGTACGTAGACTTAATATTTTATTGGTTAAAAATTTAAAATTTAAAAGTAATTTTTTTACAACTTCTTTAAAAAAGCTTTCAAATCATAGTTAATAGTTCCTTTGAACAATGGAAATTATCTTCTATATCGATTAAAGGTAATAATTTTCGGCACCAGTTTTTCTTCCGTATATTCGTTAGAATTTTTACTTCTATGAAAATTACGTGGGGTTAAGTTGATGTTAGAATAGGTTGACATTAGAATACCAATAAGGAATGGCAGCATATACTATCGCTAATTGTTTCGAACATTCAATGAATATTGAAACGCTTTTTAAAGGATCTTGAATCAAACCTAGATCCTTTAGAAATTAAGTCCAAAGTCTGTTT